GGGGTTCCAATAAGAGGAGCAATTAGAACGAATTGAAAATCAACTCACCAAATTTGTAAATTTTCAGCCGATGCCACTTTCTTCATGTTTAACATGTCTTTTATCCATTCGTATAATAAATTGTACAAACCCAACCTATGAATTTGACGTACCATATCTGTCTATGTCCATCGGGTTGGAATTTGTCAGCACTAGCACACTTCACAAATACTAGTGGTCCTCTACATGATAGACTGCATAATACCCTTGGATTTCTGTTTCTTCTCCCTTTTTTTTCTTCAGCTAGAACAACATCCTTTGACTGTGTTCAAACTGTTTGTTCCTTGGGAAGATTTCTTAAAATGTGAACGTTTTTTTTTTTTGTTGCCACATGCATGAGAGAAGTTGGTCACCTTGCCTGTGTGGATGGTTGGCGGGCACTCTGATATGGTTTGCTCCTTCTTTCCTATAAAACATCCATCATTCTTATCTCTCCTTCTTTTTTGTGTTTGTTACTCTCCTGTAACATTTCTAATCTTCGGCACTTATATGATCTTATTGTGTTCCAAGTGCAGTAAAGCTCATTCTAAAACTAAACCTAACCATGCCTGTCACAGTGGTGCAATGTGTAAAAAATGTGGTTCTAGTTAGCGTTGAAGAAAATTAATGTGTGTCCATTTTCCTTTTAAAATCGGAGTAGTTCTGATGAAATAGTTTCTATCTTCTAATACAGGTGAAAGGCAAATATAAGAAGAAGGAACTGGTCGGAGTATTCGTTGAAGTGGAGCTCTCTTGGAATATAGAACAAGGTCTTGTCCTGCTGCTTGATGGACATGAAGTTGATCATGATCGGAAGTTCAAGAAAAAGTCGAACAAAGTTACACCTACAGGAACTTGCTATTTTGCTCGACCTATTGGACAAGATGTGTATTCCCCTATTGCTATAGCCGACCTCAGCTATATATTTGCCTTCAACAAGATAATCGAAGACTTGGGAATTACATTTGGTAAGATGGTTTGATGTGATATAGTATGCTACAAAAAAAATGGATTCTTTAAAGCTAAAGATTATGCTAGGAGTTTTGTTTTTTTTCCTAAGAAAAATGTAGCTATTAAAAACCGCGTGCTGAAAGATTTCTAGTCATTGAGACTGGAATGTTACTTTATTAAAGTTGGAAATACAATGTCAGTGTCTGATAGTAGTCTAGCAGAGAGGACTGGAATCTGGTATGAGTGACTGATTATAGAAAAATTTTCTTTTTAAGTATTATAAGGGACTCAAAAAGGTCTTTTTTTTCCACTCAGAGGGGTTTTGAACTAGTTGCTATTCATTTTTTTTCAAAAGTTTTTGAAAAAAGAGTAGTATGTCAAGTTTTTATCATGTTGCTGGAACCGTAGTCACATTAAGATTCTTTTCACTTGGATGTCACAAACTACTTCATGTTGTTCTATTTCCCTTGCTGTTGAAAAGTCATGTTTTTAAGCTACACTTTATTATGTCACAAGTATTTCTAATGCAGATCTTTCATTTTAGTGGTGCTTCTTTCTTTTTTTTAATGTATGAAACTGTTCTGTCAATGCACACTTTACTGACTTTCCCTTTCTTTCATCAACATTTTATTTGTACTCATACTCTTTCTGAATATTTCCAGAACTTCCAAAGTTCCCCTCAAGCCCTGAGCTGAAGGTGCTGACCAATTCCAGTACAGAGAAAGTTGAATTTGAATGCTCTGTTACAAAGCTTACAAGGACAGATGTTTCATACTTCATCAGCTTTTACTTTGGCAAAAAGAATCTTTTGGATCAGGTAAATGATGTATCCTAATATTTTTGCTTTTGAGATCTGTGGGGAGTGGGGGTCGGGTCCAGTCCAGAGCAGGGTCAGATCTTGCCTTCTTTCAAGTTATAAATTGCTACAAATACTCTTTTGTTGATGAGAACATGTTTTGTTTGCTTTTTCTTTAGCGCTACGTAGTACTTGAGGCAGGCTGGTGTATTTTACTACCTTCATCGTCTCTTGGTGCACAACAATAATCGATGACTTTGGTCATCATTTTTGTCGCTCATTTTTGTAATAGTTGCTGATGATAGTGTATGGGGTAGTGTGCGATATAAATGCAATCTATTATTATTTTCATTTTTGTTATTATTGTTGAATACTGTTCTATCCACAATCAGCTTTTTGTCCAAGTGGGGGGTATTGAATATTGCTACTAGGAACACAGTATCTAAAAGGTGGGAGAGCAGTTCTTTCAATTATTATCTGATATTGAAATAATGCCTTCAGATCTTGCACAGGTTATGTGAAACGCTTTAACATATTGTTTACAAAGCCTTCTATATGATTTGTTTCAAATGACTGACCTGATATTCCATCCTGATTTGGTCCAGACACCTCAAGAAATTGGTGACAAGTTGGTGGCTTCCATGTCAGAGGACTATATTGACCTTCTCCGATTCTCGGATAAGATTTACTGCACAGTGTCTGCTTGTATCTCCTCTGCCTGCAACAGTACAAGAGGGCCAAGTAAAGAAAGCAGCAAACTAGTAGCTGGAGTTGAGGTTAGTTCTTTGACTATTTATTGATAACAATTGATATTGATATCTCATCAAGGAATACATTTTGATTTCCATTGAGTATGGTTGCATTAGCTTAAGTGAGGAAATAATGCGGCTTCATTCAACGACACTCGGTGACACTAAAATTAGTGATCACTCAACACCTGATGGGAAGACGAAGGATGAGAATAAACAAAAATATAAATTATCCTAAAGAGTTTGTTGCTCTGTATAGACCCTATTATTTGTTTATGTAGAGGTTCACTTGTTTATAATGGTGAAGACATAAACATTCCTAGTGTACAATTGAGCCCAAGGAAGTGGATGGTTGACACGTGCACTGGTGCAGTTAGCTCTTTCTTTTCAATTGAACATCTGTCATCATCATCTCTCCTCCTTCTTTTTTGTGTTTGTTTACTCACTTGTAACACCTATAATTTTTGCCACTTAATATGACTTAATTGTGTTGCAAGTGCCGTAAAACTTTTACTAAAACCAGTTCAAGGAAAATCACATTGTTGCCCACCACAGGGCAGTGCTCTTTCCTGAGCCTGAACTTTGGGGGGGGGGGGGGGAGTTAATGTGTCTTGTTCACAGACACACCCTGGTGGCCTTTCATGTAAATGCTGCCTCACCAGCACTGCTTAACAATAAGACTTTGCTCATGAGATGTAATCCGCCAGTATTCACATAATTTTTCCAGTTAAGCCATCAAATAAAATGCCCCATCCCCATGGAGTCAACAGGGTGGTAATGAAATCCCATGCTATAAATCACAATCATTTGTTAAACAAGCAGTAAATAATGTTGATAATTATAACGTGTCAATCTTTTGTTAGAAGAGCCCATAATTTTTTTAAGTTGGTCATTTTTATAAAGCTTGATGTTTTAGTTTTGTTTGGACTGCAAGTCTGTCTTCATGTACCTTCCTGAACCACTCAACTTTATTGCACTTTTATTTCTTCTTAGTGTGGACGTTAACTATCCTTACCTTTAAAAAAATCAGTTCTTGTAAGTTTTGCACCTCTCAGTACTTTCACAAAACACTACAAAATATTTGACAACTGCTGGTGCATCCTGAGCATGTTCATCCAAATAAATAGACATTTGTTTTGGATCAAAGCAAAAGGACAGATTCTATACTGCCATTCACAATCATCAAGTACCAGATCTGTGACAGACATCGACGATCATGGTTCTCCATTCATTCCTGTTCTCTGATGCTCTCAAAAAGGCCACATTGCCCTGTCACCCATCTGTTTAAGTTCTCCAAATAGGTTGCTCTGGGCCTTCCTCTGCCTCGTTTGCCTTGAGTTTTGCCAGTGAGAGCTTGATATTCAAGGCTTTTCTGTCTATTTAGGTGTCCCAAAATCTGGATTTGTCTTTTCCTGATTGTTTTTATCAGCGAGCGGCCCATCTGGGCTTCTTCAAGTACTTTCTCATTTGATTTCTTTTCCTTCCAAGATGTTCTCAGCTAAGAAACCACATTTCTGTTGCTTCGGTTTTATTTTCACTGCCTTAAGTGATTGTCCAGCATTCATAGCCGTATAGAAGGGTTGACCATTCATAGCATTTCAGAACTTTCATTTTGGTAGTCATTGAGATGTTTCTATTTCTCAGGATTAGCCTCATTCTATTGAAACCATCTATAGCCATGTAATTCTTCATTTTATTTCTGTGGAACATTTGGCATCTGATGTTATTATATACCCTAGATATTTAAACGGCCATTATAATTGCAATAAAAATAAAGAAGTGTTTTGTCACAAACCATTATGTTCTATTGGAACTGGGAACATTTGGAATACCTTCCAAAAGGAATGCATATTATGTCATCAGAGAGACAGTTTTAAGGAAAATTTAAAGACATTTATTCAATACTATCCTCTCTCAATAAATATTGTATGTGAGCATGTGTCTGGGTTTGGGAGTAGTATGTGTGAGTGTGTGTGTGTGTGTGTGTGTGTGTGTGTGTGTGTGTGTGTGGTTGCATGTGATCAGTAGCAATGTAGAGTCCATCATTATTATTATTATCATCATCATTATTATTATCATTATTGCTGTTGTTATTATCATTATTACATGTTCATGTGTATTTCTCTTCTATTCCTCAACAAATTAGATTATCACTGGAGAAGTTGAAATCTACGAAGGCAGCTACAGTGGAGGCATTTCAGTCAAGACTGTTCTTCCTCCTCGACTGTATTGTCTGCCGGAAGATCGGGATCGGGATTGTCGCATCACTATCATCACCCAGTTGCTGGAGCATAACAAAGAAGTGACTTGTCCGAACGGCAAAAAGATCTCTCAGATCTCCTTCCCTGTGTCCAGCACAAACAACATAAACGACGCCGCCTGCAGTCACAGAATCACAATGCTCACTTGGAAGAAAGCTCTCTTGATACCGTTGCAAGGAAACATTGACCAGATCAAAGATGGGGATCAAAAGAGGACTGTTCGACTGATTGGAAAGATCATAGCTGCTGGACTTGAATTTGACACGCTCCTTATTGGTGAAGTGAAGGTATATATTTTATTTTTTTTTATAGATAAAGGTGAAAGCATTTTGTTACTTTTGATCACAATGCTCTTCAAAATTCTTGCCCCTTTCTGATTAAAGACAGTTATTATATTTTCAATCTATTATCATAATGAAGGTTTTAACTCTGTACAAATGTTAGTTAAATATTTTCAAAGTTTTTGTTTCAGGATTGATGGTAAGCTAGAGTGCCTAGTATGCTACAGCAGCACAAAGCAATATACTAGCTGAAATTACTTCCAAACTGTTTTGTTTAAAACCAATGTTGAAAATAGGTCATCCCATACAGTTGCATGTGATGCTCGAATTAATTAATTACTAGTGACTTCAAAAACACCTTCTCAGGGTTCCTTTCAGAGTACGTTTCACACTTTGTTTGTTGTAAGTAGGCCTATAAGGGTATCATTTTAACACCCCTATTAGGTTATTTAAGAGGTGGGACCTCCGAATTAAATGTCTGCCTCCTATAGAACCAAGCCAAATGGGCTGAGAGCTTTGAAAACTCCACAAAATAGCTAGAGTTTAAGAACGCCCAATATGGGATTCAGACCAAGGCCATCCGCCCCATAGTCAAGAATGATAGGAACTGAGCTAATGGGGTGCCCTTTTTCCTTGTATTTAGGTAACCGTCAAGGACAAAGATGGTGACCGGAAGAAGTGTAATTCAGTAGGAGATCCTCATATAAGGACTTTTGATGGAAAGTGAGTATGTTTTTACAATGTGTTTGTAGGGCCCTTTTATCTCTTTAAATTAACTACAATTTCTTGTCCCAATATATGCCTGTTTTTATGATTGCTTCGGACATAAAACATTCGTATATTATAGTATAATACGCTCAATTGTTCATTTTCTTTTTTTTTTTTGCTCGCATTTCTTTCTCCTTAATTTATCTGTACTGTAGAAAATATTTGGTATAGCATTAGGTTTAGCATTCTTGTAAACACTGAAATTGTGGGTGGTTAGCGGTTGTTCTGGTGTGGTTTTTCTCCTTCTTTCCGACCAAAAATCTATCGTCTTTACCTCTCTTCCTTTTTTTTGTTTGTTACTCTCTTGTAACGCATCTGATCTTGGGCACTTATACGACCTTTTTATGTTGCAAGTGCCATAAAACTCTTACTAAAACTTAAACTAAAAAACGCTGAAATTTAAAGTAATAGCCAGACTGGGGAAGGAAGCAGCATCCGTCTCCAGTAGGACTGATCCAATTGGATGGTGGAGAGTCTTGAAATATCCCATGCAACCCAAGTACAAGAACCCTCAGTAGGGGATCCACACCTTGATAATGTTCTCAGTTGCCTGGCATGATACCAGCTGAGCTATTACTTGGTCTCGTCAGTACCCGGCTTTCGACAGCAAAAGATGGTGTCAGTTTCTAAGTGTTTTAGCACTTAATCTGCTGCTTGCATTGTATTATGCTTCCCGAGAAGCTAAGAATGTCCCTAAGTGTTCTTGGATCCACCAGGGGGGTAATAATAGTTGTGAAGAACTTGGAGAATGTTGTAGAGCATGACATGTACTATATAAATGTATTATTATTGTTGTTGTTACTGTTATTATTATTATTATTATTATTATTATTATTATTATTTATTATCATTATTATTGTTATTATTATTTTCATTACTGTGACACCAAAATGGAGCAGTGCATTTTGAGAACAAATTAGAAAGATTTCAAATTGTTATGCATTAACTTATATAATTTTGTTACTGCAATTTGTTGATGGGGAGCTGAATATATGTTTAGGTTTTAATGTTTTTTGCTCATTCTTCAGGAAATATGACAACTACTTCGAAGGCGAGTTTGTCTTGTACAAGCACACAACGTTGCCATATGAGGTAATTATAATTCTTTTCTCTCATTGATTAGCGTTCTTATGCGAGTTTTTCCTTTTTTTCTTAGTCTGCGTTTGATTATTATCCTGTCCCCATTTGATAACTTAAGGCTCTGCTAACCTTAATAATAATATGTCTAATATTATTGTCAAGAGCTACATTGTAATGAAAGTTTTTATGGGTTTTTTCAAAATGTTATTTGTAACCACATGAAGGATACTTTTGCATTTGTATTTTTTGCAGTCACAGTGGCTCTAAAAGGTAATGAAGAGGGGGAGGGGGGGATTAGAGGGTGGCAGTAGAAGGTCCCACTTCCTTTGTTTCCCTCTTTTTCTGTCTCTATTTCTTTCTTATTCCCTGCACTAATGGGCTGTTATCATGCCTATGACCTTCTCTTTACTCATATTGAATCAGACAAAGTTGATACAAATGTGTGTTTTCTTTTCTGGTTTCTGAACAGCTGCTTTGATCAATCAGAAAAGCAGACCATGACAAAATATGAAATGTTTTTTTATCAAACTTTACTATTTCATGGGATCAGAACTTTTTCAGAGAGATTATTGGAAAGTGTTTAATTACAGGTTTGTCTGGATCTGGAACTTTGTAATCATGTTTCGTCTACCCCCCCCCTCCCACACACACACACACACATGTTCTCACACACATATTTACTCTCACTCCCACCCCATTCTCTCACACATATTTACCACCCCACCCCCCAACCCCAACTCTCTCTCTTTATATCCAGTGTCACACATGAATGATCAATTCTCACAATGCAAAAGTAAACTGTTTCTGAGACCCTTTTGAGTATAATTGCTTTTTTTTAATACTATATTCATTGTGGGTGGTTGGCAGTTGCTCTGGTGTGCTTTGCTTCTTCTTTCCTATCAAACATCTATCGTCCTTTTCTCCCCTTCTTCTTTTTTATGTTTGTTACTCTCTTGTAGCACCTCTAATCTTCTGGCGCTCATATGACCTTAATTATGCAGTTGCGAGGGTCGTAAAACCTCGGCTAAAACTAAAACTTATGTTCATTATTTTTTTGAAATATTGAAGGAGTGCCTCTCATCCCCAGGTTCGTGCCTTCCAGCGCAGCTGTAATGGTAAGGCAGCATGTAACTGTGGAGTGGCTATTAAGTCTGGAGATGATGTCATTGTGCTGGACAGATGTGGATTCAAAAGAGGTGGACCCAGCATTCCTCTGAAGCCCCAAGTCTACTACAATAATGAATTGACTCCGGGCACAAAGATTGACCGCGAAAAAGATGATGCATACAAGGTATTCAAAATTGCTCTGATACTTTCTTGGGTAGTGAGGTTTTTTTAAACTGTTTTGTTTGGGGGTTTTTTATCTGTTATTGAAAAAAGACTGAATATTCTCCACTTTTTTTTGCAATAGCTTTCAATTCTTGAACACAACTTCTTTCACTCGCAGAGACAATTTAATTGAAACTATTAAGATTGATCTTTAAACTGAATATCATTATAATAAATACAAGCTTGAGGAATGTAAAACTGAACTTTCTTTTCTACGTCCTATACAACAGGTGACCCTCCCTACTGGTATGACGATAGAGGTGCGCCCAAGTACCATGGGTAGAAGAAATAAAAAAGTGGACATTGTTTTGATCTACATACAAGCATCTGCATTTGACTTTGAAAGCACTGAAGGTGAGCTGAAATAGATGATGTATGAATTAAGCAAATAATGTTTTCAATAGGAAAAGAATAGAACCTCTCATGTCCTACGTCATTGCTCATAGTAGCATACTGAGAAGTAATTTTGGAATATTCTCCAGTCATTATCGTTTATGAAGAATGTGAATTAACTAATTGACCCTGGAATTGATTTCCATGGTTTAACTAAATCAATTTTTTTTTAACAACTCAACTCTACCACTTTCACAACATGTGCTTCGACTCAAGACAAACAATGGATATAAACATAAAGACACAGGAGTATAGCTTCCTCCAAAGAAGATTCGTATAAAATTGTATTTGCATTCATAGCTGTTTAGATGAAAAATTTCTTATGCGTCACCACGGCCAACAATTGCCATTCATCATTTTGGGAAGAAGTTCAGCAGCTTGGAGTGGCCTCTCAGGTTTGATGAGTTTCTTTTTGTGATTAAAAACAAAAGCTGAGACAAATTAAGAAAAGTGAGTGCAGAAAAAGCGCAAGTAAGATTTGGTAGACATTTAGCAATAAACGAGCTTATAAGAGGAAGGTTTAGAGATACAAACTTAATGAAAGATGAAGGAAACAGACATTATTTTCACTTCCCTACGTGACTAGGGTCTGTTATAACTGAACAAAAGTATTGATAAATTGCTTGGTCTGTCCCTTAAAAACCAAATGGTCACCCACCACAACTGTGTTAATTTCTTTTGATTTCCTATTGTTCACCCTTTGCCAAACATTGCTAGAAGTCAGCTCTTAAAGAGTGTTTAGCCTTGCATTTTATACCCAAAATGGGGATAGAGAGGGGAGAAGGAAGAAAGGAACAATTATCTGGAAAAGAAAAACGTCGCCATAATCAGACAGCCACTGGAACAATCAGTATGGATACCTTGCCGGCTTTGGTGCTGAGAGAAACTGAGCACTAATGGACCTGTCCGGTGTGCAATGACGTTGTTGCTCAGGACAGGTAATACAAGTAATAATTTTATACCCAATGCCCATTGGCACGATCAGTTCAGTTCAGTTTGGTAGGAAGGGCTAGCCAGATTGAGGATGAAAAGCGACCATTGAGGCACAAACCGAACGAAGCTGACAGTGTTTGTTTTCAAGGCCACGAGTAGAACAATCGGTTTGTGTTAGAGAACCGATTCCCCAATATGCACTGGGTATTAGATTTACTCCATTATGTTTATGCTGGTACAAAATTCTGTTTTCTTATCCTTCACAGGCCTCTGTGGAACTTACGACAATGATAAGAGTAATGATTTCCTGACAATCAGTGGACATCTGGTCCGAGGTGAAAAGGAGTTTGCCCTGTCATGGAGGTAATACCTACCCATTTGGCCTATTGACTCGTTTGATATTTATGATGTGTGTGTGTGTTGTATGTGTGTGTGTGTATTTTTGTGTGTGTGTGTTTGTGTGTGTGTGTGTGTGTGTGTGTGTGTGTGTGTGTGTGTGAAGAGAGTAAGGGTGGGGGGGAAGTGATGTATAGACTGATTTTACTCATTTATGATTCGAAAATTAAGTTAGGGGTAAGTTTAGTGATCTTCTCTCAAAAGACTGTAATTTGTTTTCTTTTTTCCCTACAGAGTGCCCAGTAATGAGAGCATCTATAATGGGATATGTTCCACCACGGATGTGTCTATAGGATCAGCGGTCAGCTGTAACTGCATGGATGGATTTGCCCTCTCTTGTTCTCAACTGGAAGGAGTTCAGACTTGCGATGCTGACAACGCTTCGCCAGCACGACTCAACAATTCTCCAGAAAGTGGCGGTCGGTCTGTTCAGAGCGGCAGTCGGTCCGTGCAGAGTGGCAGTCGGTCTGTGCAAAGTGGTAGCCAGTCTCTGGCACGTGCCAGCCGATCAGCTACGTCGCAGTCCTCTTCCTCTGAGAGTATTGGTCAGTGACTAGAACCATTTCTCTGAATTAACAAGTCCTGACAAGTGGATACTTTCTTATTTTGAAGCTAAAAGATATATTTTGAAGTCTCTTTTTGAGTGGGTGTTTGTACCAGTATTAAGAAACGTGTTAGCGATTTTTACCTCTTAGCGATATAATGACCTGTTTGTGGTAGACAGTGAAAGGGATTCCCCCTCATGAAAACCCCCCCAGAAATTAACAAATTTATACGCCAAACTTCCCTCTGTAATGATTCTGAACATGCATGTATGCTTAATCAAATGAGAACTCTTCAGGTTAGGCCTACGCTACTCTCGAAAAATGTATAAATATGTTCAGAAGGGCCATAGATACGAATTGCTGTGGGGGATGGGGGGGGGGGATGTGGATTTCTGTCCTGGTTTTCAAAACCTTGCAGCTCTATATATGAGAGGATTTATTGTGAACACTTTCTATAAGTATATTATTGTGAAGGAAGTACATGAGGCTAAAGTAGGTCGCAGCTATCAACTGTTATTTAAAATGCAGCTTGATAGTTTAGGATGAAAATTTCTGATTTCAGCAATCAGATCCATTGTTCTCTTGAATTAGTATCAGTAAATTACTTTGAATTAAATTATTAGTCAAAACAAGTCTTTATCAAGATTACACAGTTTTGTGTTTATTGACTTAGAAATCACTAGGAAGCAGTTGTGCGAAACAGAAAGTGATATATTGTCGATTTTCTTAAATTTGTGCTTCAGTTTAACAATTTGTGAGCTTGTTGACCAACTAACTCAAAAAAGGCTTTGTATACTTAATGGATTTTCATCCTAACATTATTACTTTCAATTCCTGAAATTACATTTTTAGGTGTTTTATTAATTTTAGATTAATTTAATTTCCTTCGATCAATACAGACACGGACATCACAACCGAAGTTATCAACAGTGCTTCAAGTGAAGATGCTTGTATTGCTGGACAAAATGTTGTGATATGGGAATTTGATGAAGATTATGAATTTGAGGTGAGTGTCTTTCTTCAAAAAGAATAAAAAGATCTCTGTCAGTTGCTTTGATATGATATACTATAGTATATCTTTTCTACCAAATAAATAAAGGATATGTTGCTAAATTTTCCTTTTTTTTTTAGCACTGTATTCTATACGCATGAACAGGTTGTATTTAGTAATGGTGTTTTGCACGTATTTTTTTTTTTAGTTTGTGTATTTTGCAATTACTTGAGGAGAATGTAGACAGTGCATAAACAGTAAGAGAAAAAAGGGAGAAGAGGAAGGAAACAGTTCAGTCAACCACAGTCCCAACGCATGACATAAAAATGAAAAGTCTGAAGATTTGGTATGAAGCATGCTCCAGAGTACTTTAACATCTGATCAACCTAATGAAATCAACCTTCGTGTGATTTAGTAATAGTCCAAGTAGATGTCCTCTGAAAAATGTAACATTTATTACTTAACAGAAAATTCAGAAAGCTGCAAGAACAGCCATATTTCCTCAGAGAAAATTCATATGGCAAGGAGCATGGGTAGCATTAGAGATGTAAGAAGGAATATAAAAATGTTCAGGACAAGACATGAAGAGATGTACCCTTTTGAAGAGTACACCAATTTGTGAAAGTAATGCTATAGATATTTACACTAAGCAATTGCAAATCAATGATGAAACAAGCAAATGATCTTTTGGTTTTTTTGGCGTGATAAATAGAATATATATATTTATTTATGTATGTGTGCCTTCCATCAGAAGGCCAATACTAATTCACAACTACCTTGCTTTACCTGTGCCTTCCAATTATCCCTTTTTGTCTTTAGGGTAGACAGTGCAACACAGCTTGTTAGGTGCACCCCTCCATCATGTTGGGCAAAGAAGGAGAACATTAGCTCAGAGAAAGTTTTTTTTATTCTAAACTACTAGAACAGATTTGAAACTCAATTTTTCATGACTTAGTTAAAGACTGATATGTCAATATGCAATCATTGCTTATGATATTTCTAGATTTGTTCTTATTTGCATTGAGGGCTTTTTTCTCCTCTCCAATTGATTTGTATGAAATTTTTCCATTTCCTCTAGAAACCCACTTGGCCAACTCCATCAGGAATCACTAAGGATAATGCCACTGAAACATGCCGTACAATTCTGGAAGTCAGCCAAACCTATGCTGCCTGCATGGACCTATTGGGAGAGGTCACAATTGGTGTCTCGCTGGAGAACTGTGTAGCTGATGTTCAGGTATGAAAGGGCAATTTTGTTTCAAAAGACTGCGTGTTGCCTTAGTGAGCTACTGCTCAAAATGTTAATTTGACATTGACTTTATTAGAAGAACAGAGGCCTTCAGCGTTTGTTCAGGATTTAATTTTTGTATATTTTAAATGTTTTATAAGTTGGTTGTTTTCACATTAGTTCACAGTACATCTTGATTTTACTTTGCAAGTCAAAATGGTTGAAGTAACTGGTATCTTGGCGACTGAATGTATACAAGCAGTCCTGCCAATGCTATTTCCGGCAATGATATAGGAAATTTTTCTCCACCGAAGACATAAGAGATTTGGGTCTTCATGGGTAGCCTACACAAGGTAAAGAAGACCTTTTATAATAGTATCTGACTACCTGAGAGTCAAGGGGCACTCTGTTCTAACGGAAAAATAGGATATATGTGCAAAAGTCAGTGGTACTGTGGGTACCTTAAGTTAGTTGCACCATAAATGTAGGGGGAAATCTCAAAAGGAGAAAAAGAAAGAGTATCAGCTAGCGAAAGGTTGAAATGAACACAGCAAACTTTATCTTTGAGAATTGGGTGGCATTGTGTTACTGACACATTTCTTATGACATATTTTGATGCCGATTATTTTAACAACCAACTTTTCTGACCTATGAATTCAAGTGACACTTGTATAATGAGAATTTTGTCAACCATTGGAATACGTGAATTGAACAAGTAGACCCTTAACGAAATAATATGTTTCTTTCTTCAGATAATGGATGATCTTGAATGGGCCATCAGTATATTAATTGATGTCAGAGTGATTTGCTTGATACAAATAGAAATCAATGTGGACTTCTGGGTGACTGATGAAACAGGACAAGTGTCATATCCCCCCAGTGTCACCAACAATGTCTGTCCACTTGACTGCAGTGGGCATGGTGTTTGTTCTGAAGGTATGACGTCATGTAGAGAGTTTTGTGAGTTTTTGTCGCAGCTGTCAAGACTGTTGAAAAATCTTCCCTGTGAGCTTAAAATCATTAGGGTTAATGCTTGTGTCCTGTAGAATTTCAGTTTTATTTTGTAATAACTCTCATTTTCATTATTGAAATTTTGAACAGAACCGAATAAACCAGAACTTCCCCAATGTGTCCTTTGTGTGACTATGCATATGATACTGTGGATCATCACTTTTTCCACTGTACAGCCCTAAATGACATCAGAGCTAGACTTCTCCCCCCACGAGACCTAACATTGACTACACACTTTATGGAACATTACAGCAACTGCAGCAAACCTGCACTTATCACTACATGGCATTGGACAGAAGGGAGAGAACAACATTATTGAAATTCAGTGCATTCAAAGTGATAGATATCAAAACTAGTAAATGTACTTAGTTTAAGACAGCACTCTGCTTGTGATGTTTGTAACTGCTGGAACTTCTCGACAGACATTCCATGTGTCTCTGGTATGTCTCTGTGAATTAGATGAGGCCCCCTTGTTGGAGAAATTATGGGTTAATTTTCAATTGTACACATTGTAAGGCAGAGATTTTTTTTGTGTGAGATGGTTTTTGTTGGGAGAAAAAGACATGGGATAATCAAGACATATAATGTTGGACCATCTCTCTTAAGCATGTGCAAGACTTTTCCTATATTATCAACATCAAGAAAGCTATTATTCTCTTCCAAGATGTTCTGGTCAATGCAATGTCTTGCTAGTGATCCTTTTGTATATAAGAAGTTTTAAAGAACAGAAGGACTGGACTGCTGTTAGCTGACAAAAAGCCTTTTTTTTATTCACAGCAGTTTCGAGAAAAAGAGACTTTTTGTCAGCATGATTATTGGAAAATAGTGTGCTTCCGACAATTGAATTCTAATTCATTCAAAAACTGGTCACAGCTTCACTTTGATTTTTTCACTCAAGTAGGGTCACTGATCAGGCTTTCAATTTATCAAATTAAAAAATTGGGGGCCAAAATGAAAAAAAGCTCTTGTGAGCTTACAACAGTGTAGAGAACTTGGTTTAATTGTGTTTGCATGTCAACATATTATGTAAGTGCTTCTGTGTTTGTTAAAGTAAGAAAGTAAATGTTTGAAGGGTAACAAATAATTTCAATATTGTGGTACTGTGACAATATAAAAATAAATTCTGTTTACTCTGCTTTACCTCATTCAGAAGGTAGTCTTGTCATATTATGTGAAATAGCACATCATGGACACATACAAATTTTAAGAACTCTTCATGATCAGGAATCTGGATGCTGTAGCTTATAATTTTCAAATCCTCAAGGACAATGCAATTGTGAGGATGACTGGTTGGGCTTTGACTGCAGTATCCCATTCCTGGAGCCCCCTATCCTGATTTCCATTGATGGAGGCAGCAAATGTGACAAGAGACAACGACCTTGTGAAGTTATTGAGATCTATGGTCTGAACTTTGCTGATTCCCCACTGCTTACATGTCACCTCAAGTCAAGAACTGTAAGTTAGCTTTCTTCAAAGGATATTCTACAATATTATTGTGCAGTGTCTACAGGCCCCTTAGTATGCAAGGAGAGAGTATTTTGTGAAAAAATATGTTATTACAATAAATTTTTAGATGATATGAATTAAAACAGACCTTGTGACCTTTTCGAGTTTTCATAGAAAAGCAAAGCATCTGTAAGGTTAGCTTCTTCTAGATTAGAAAATGTATCTGTTGGGATTTACTAGATCTCCATGTCATACACATAGGTCAGTGTGTGATAATAGCATTTGGTTCCATGGCATTATTGACAACAGTAAATTCAGGTGATTTTAGAAATATTTGTAGGAGACCCAAATAAAGGTAGAAGCAAGCAGTTTCTATTTGATCGCCTTTTTGTTGAAATAAACATGAGTACACAAACATCATTCAACACCATCTATTAGTATGAAATTGTAAAATTTCAACAATTCTTTATTTTTTACTCTGTAGAACTCACAGACAAAAATTATTGAGGATATATATATGACAAGACAAACTGAAAGCAAGATTTGTTTAAAGATCGGAAAATGAAGGTCACAAAATCATAATTAGTTTAAATGTAATAATTTTGTTTGTACAAACCCTACACTTTTATGAACGCTGTTGATCATTTATGAAGCTGCCAGCCATATGTGGCTGGTCCAGTCTCTGTGAGTTAATGACCTTTTTGTATCCAACAAGAAAGTCTTAACTGGTTTCTGTTGTTATTATATCTTCTTCATAGGAATAGCTTGTTTTCCACTTGTTATTCTGTTTTTATTGTCCGTTACTATTTTAAATTCTATTACTCTCTCAAAATCACTTAAATTTGAAAAATAAATGTGTTTGTAAAGAATTAAGTAGTCTTTCTAAAAGTATGTTTGAAAGTATGTCAAAGTTTACACTTCATTGTTTGGGAGACATAATATTTTGAGTTTAATAGTTCAGATGTACTTTGTTTTTGGTAAAAGTTGATTGTTTTTTGTTGTTTTTTTGTCTATAGGATGATCTAGACAGGAATATCACGGCAGAATATATAACATCAACACTGGTCCGATGTCCATTCAGTGAAGATGGAGAATACGATGTCTCCGTGAGCAACAACGGGCAAAGCATGAGCAACACGTTGATGTACATCTGTTTTGACTCTGTTTGTGACAACTGCACCACTTCCCCGTGCACCACTAGGGTAATTGTCTACATTCTTTCAAATAAACAAACTAATATGATGGTTATATTGTACTTTGTCTTTTGTTAGGATTATAGTAGCTTTCCTTTTGTCAAAGTGTGTCTCCTGTTCAGAAAAATCCGAAAGACCAGGTCTAAACAGCCTACCTAAAAATGGTGAATATATTCCTTTTTCATGTACACTAAGGGACAAAGTTTTATTTCCTTGCAATGGAACATTATATTTTGGGAGAAAAACTTTTAATTTGAGTGAAGAAAAATTGCAAAGAGCGGGAGGGGGAAAAAATTATATTATTGCCATTCCTGAGATTGTTATCACTTTGCAGTGTTATGCAACTTGGGGATTTGATGAACTATAGAGTCATGAGTTGAAAACAACTGCTGTTTACTCTCACTTCCGTGAGGTCAGGTTTTTTTCAGTCCACTTTATTTTACTGACCCCACACAGGTGGCTGTAAAACAAATAAGTAGTTCATAATCTTTTTTTTAGGAGGGACGGGGTTGGTTTCTTAACAAAGTGTTTTGATAGGATGTTGTTGTTGTAGACTTTTACAAGATTTGAGAGGGTGTTTTTTGCTGCCTTTTCAATGACTGTACTTTGTATATTTCTGCAAGACTGACGTATGCTTGATCGGAGGGCAGTGCTATGCTGATGGGTTTTACAACCCAGCTGAACCTGACCTTGTGTGTCGTCCCGAATACTCCACAACCAGATGGACACGTGTCTCAGGTGACCACAAAATCTGTCTTGATAATCTTGACCCCCTACCCTTACTGAATATAGAGAATACTTTTTGCTGTGAAAGACAAGGGTGAACAAGTAAGCCCTAGCGATACTCCTCATGGTGTCTTGTTGACATGCATAGAGAATGCAAGACCATGAGGAATATTGCTTGCTTGTTCACACTAGCTTTTTAAAGAATAAAGTTTTTCCCTATAGTCTTGCTCCTGAGAGTTTGCAGTACTTTATTGCACAGTGTCTTAAAAAGGAATCCCAAAGTCAATTTTTGAGAGGAAATTAAAGCCTAATGATAGGAGAGCACCACTGGTAGGTCCTACTTCTTTACTTCCCCTTTGTTGTTTCCGTCTGTCTATCTTGTTTGTACCTAGCCTTTAGTAGCCTTTAGTAGCCTTTAGTAGCCTTTAGTATTGGTTTATGTACTTCTCTTTACCCAAACTAAAGAAATGTAAACAACCTTTTAGTTTTTTTGTTATTCCATCTATTAAAAAAAGACAAACAAATGTTCAGAAGCTCTAACATTTCCAGTTTAGGGACCAATGATAGAGTTAATCATATTCCCCGCAGTGCTCTACACAGTATCATAGACAAGAGAACAAATGTTCAAGCATGCTTTTACAAAAACTTATCCAACTGTCGGTAAATTCTGATCCTCGTTTTTTAAACCTGTGCTTTTGGATGGTGGTGGATGTTAGTGGTGGGTCCTACTTCTTATCACTCCTTTGATGTTTCTATCTGTCTGTGTCTTACTTTTTCCCTGCACTAAATTATTGATATTGTGTTGATGTGCCTTTCTTCACCCAAAATTCAAACTTTTGGGTGATGGGCGTGACACATTTTTTGTTTGTGAAGTTGATGTTTGTTTTCCTCTTTACCTCCGAGGGGGGTAAACCCACTATGCCGGGGCCCTCTTTAAGTACTAAATCTAAAAATGACAAAAACGTCTCTAAATTGGTCATTAAATCAAATAAGTGAACCTATTTTGATAGTTCTTCATCTAATGAATGAAATCCAGATAAAATAGACCTGTTTTCAGCAATTACTGAAAAGTAATTTGATGTCGAAGTCGTCGTAAAGGAATGTGCCCGAGCTGCTGTCAGCGGCTCACCAGCACAGCGGTTCCGGCCGCAAGTCGCTGGGAGCGGCTTGTCGAAGATAAAGAGTTAATCTTAACTTTTTCCAGACTTAAGCAATGGGAATAATTTCAGTTGATAACACTGGCAGAAGTCATGGTTGTCCCAGCTGGTCAGCCAGCCATAGGATGGCTAGTCTCTCTCTGAACATGAAAATATAGAAGAAGTAGATTCTACCTGTGGGTTATCAAACCACTAATATATCTTACAATACAGTCAAAACTGTCAAAAATGTTGTGTGCTTTGGCTATTACAGTACATCATTAGACTGCTTTTCACAGATTTCCATGCTTGTGTGCATGAATGGAAATTCCTTTTTGGTAGAAAAGAAAATCTGGACACCACTGGATATGGAAGTTAAAATCATATAGGACTTTTACATTTTGTCAATTCTTTTCTTGTCTTTTCTTCATAGACCTGCTTTAAACTTTTAACATAATGTATGTAATTCAATTGGAAATACAATCAAGTCTCCTGGTTGAACTGAAGACTACCAGAAACAGAAAATCTGTTGAGCACACTTACCTCAAAGTATTCAAAACTTTACTTGATGTTGAGCAAAGTTTTTATTGTCTGAAAGGATGTGTAAGTGAGAGGACATTTTTTTTTTATGCTGTTATAAGGCTTCACGAATAAGAAAATGCTGAAACCAAGAGAGAAGCCCGCAAGGTGCTCATATCCACTTCTGGAAGTGGAGCTTTTAAAGGCTCAAAGTATGGCAAACTTTTCTCAGCCAGAAATGGTCTCATCGGCCATAGCAGAAACCGGTCTATTACTTTTATCATTTTGAATTCTGTTAGCAAGGGAATTAACCTATGTTGTAGGTTTTTTTTAAGTCTTGATAGCTGTGGATGGTAGTGACTGCTAAAATTCAATTCAAGGAAAATGATCAAAGACTGCTCTAAATATGACTAATATGTATTATTGTTTATCTTCTTTTCAGTTACCTCTATCAAGGATACAAGAATCATTTTCATTGAGATCAGTGGAACCCATTTGGTTACAACTGTTGGGAATCTCAATTTTACTGGCACCATCGGTGTTTCCACCAACCCTGACTCGGGGAAAGTTGTCGTTGTCGGTAACGGGCAGGGTGGCTTTGATCTGGGCCCAGTTGCAACGCCCTGTATGTTGGACTTTGAAAAATGTCAGTTTGGACTCTCTTTGTCATTCACCATCAAGTTCACAAAGCTCGTGCAGAATGGGTACTTGTTCACCAGCTGTGGAGTTGAACAGGACGGAGCTGGCCTCTCTATCTATTACAGACACGATAAATTGTTTTTCACGGTCACTACTAGAACACTGCAGTGGAGAGGTTACCTCCGAGATGTGGGCACAGATGCTTACCATTCCTATGAAGTTTCTTGGAGTGCGCAGACAGGTTTGAAGGTTAGTGTGCTAAGTTTGGTTAAGAGTACTCCAATGAAAGATAATAACGTTTTGCATGTAAGAGTGTGTTTTTTGCTAGGCTTTGGGTTGTGAAATAATATAATGACATGTATTTTGAATGGATTAGGTGTAAATGTTTGTATGAAATTTGAAAGTAAAGAAGTGAAATGTAACACAAACACACACACGCATACGTGCACAAACAAACACACATGACAACAACAACAACAACAACAATAACAACAACAACAACACAAACATGCATATGAGAGCAACAAATAACTACAGTAATTGAAATAAACTAGCAAGCAATCCTGTAGCCGTTTTTGTCTGAAGTTATTGTGTTACACAAATATTAGTTTACTAACTTGGATTTACTTGGATCCAGAGCTAGAATCATTCATAGCAGGCGGCACATGTCCATAGCTGCTCATCTCTCCTTTCCAGCGTCCACCTCAGGGTCTTCCTGCTAATTGTCTCCATGAGGAGCTGGTTTGAGACATGCCTGACCACTCCTCGGAGCAAACTTTTTTTCGCTGTGCCCCGCACACACTTTTCTTTTATTGTGCTGAGTGTGTGGGAGTCTGTCTCCTCTTGGTTGTGAAGGCTCTCTAGTTTACTAAAAAATCATAGACCCTATCTCTCTGAACTCGAACCCAGTAAGATATGTATTTTTATTATGACAGGTATTTGTGGACAACACACTCTCATTGATTAAAGACAAAGCAAGGGACCGCAGGAATCCTGTTGTGAACCCTAATACTTGTCCCTGGAAAGTAGGCATGACACGGACTGGAACTGCTCTGCTGCACTTTGAACTTGAGATCATTCATCTTGTGTATGCTGAGAAGGAGGTTGTGAATGAATTGGGGATTGTCATAGGTATACATTTCAACATCCTCTTCTCAGGTCCTTCTTTTTTCGACTAATCTCTCTGCCTCTGTCTCTCTGTCTCCCCCTTATTGTTTCTCTCTCTCTCTCTCTCTCTCTCTC